AAAAAAGAAATTAGGTTCTTCTAGCCAATCGGATCTGAATAGAAATTGTCTTCATCTGAACATTACAGCATATTGTATAGTAACGGAAAGCAGCGGACAATTTAGGTCGTGTAATGCTCAGAAAATACATGTCAGTAAATATGTGGTAGATCATAGTGGCCTAGATATGAAGTGGATAAGTGTAAATTGAATTTATATAGAAAGGTACCAAAAGAGAGCACAAACAATTAAATTAAAATCAAATTTATGCATGGATGTAAACACTAAACTAATCATAATCACTGCTGTAGTCTATTCTACTACTCACGTGCGCACTTAACATTGCTAATTATAAAACAAATTGAATATTTATATATAGTATTTATTTTTATAACAGTATTTATTTTTGTAACAATATTGATCTTTACATTAGTATGTTCATCTTGCAACCGTAACTCATGTTGAACTTTGTATAAGGTGTGGTTACGATTACTATCCATGCATTGAAACACTGGGATCTCTACACAAAAGTATACACTGATATGACACAATACCACCTGAACGTTCCAAAGCACAATATCACATATGTGAGTTTAAACACATTACCATATAAGACCTCAGCCCTCAATTGTCGAGCTCCCTTGAATGATGTCTTGCAATCGATACAGACGGTGTGCTTTTGTTTTAAAAAATATTATTTTACGTGGGATTATATAATACAATAAACACAATCCTTTAAATCTATGACAATCATGACAAATACTCACTAAGCTGTACAGTTGCACACCCAACCCAACGCCTAAGATGAATACACACATTGCTGTGGCTGTTCTATAATACTTCATTTTACCTTTAGAGAGTTTATACGACGTATCTGTTAAGGTAAACATAACGTTACATTGAATATTCTGATGGAATACACTATGATATGTCTATGTTGTTGTTAGTTGCCGAGTCAGCAGTAGATGTGGTATATAGATATATAGAATACGGGACATGGCGTTGTTGAATCTAAGTTGTTTCCATATGCACAGCCTGCACATCAATTCGGTCGATTAACGTACGATAATATTAGTGCAACACATTAGTTAATTAATACAGTCATCAAGATAACTAAATAAATGTAGATTGTTAGACTTAAATCGGTGATTATGAAGATAAAATAGCCATATCATGATGACCGAATTGAATGAATTACAATATATGGCGTCCCATGGAGACCTGGACATAAACACGTGGTCGTTTTTTAACTTGTAAGTGATTTAATGTACAGCACACAATCTACATCATTCCAATAACGCAATCTTCATAATATCACTGAAAACAGTTATACATTGCCCACACGCAAAGCTTGCGGCGCTTAGATTTGGCAATATGACGTCCAGTCGAGCCCGAGAGGACGTAAAACTGTTGGTTTGTGTGCTGTTACAGTCCTCAGTTACAGTAACAAGTAGGAATATATAAATAAAAATTAAGCTTACCTACTAAGCATCTAATAACGACTGCACTAAATATAATTTCGTTTGTAGACTAGCTTCGACATGAATCCCAATCAACAGATGGGATATTTTGATGGATACATATGTGTGACCTATTAATTACGCTTCACTTAGTTTCACCTAATATAGATTTCAGTTACAGTAAAAATGTGTATAAACGATTGTAAACATAATTTGGGAGTGAATAAGTAGCATAACACATCTATCGTTTTAGGTTGAATTCAAAAATTGTAATTAGAGATGATTTAAAACTTGATTTGTTTAAATGTATGGATAATCTATGTGTGAATTGTAGATACGATAAATGTTACACATACACAATATGTTACACTATATTGTCGTTTGACATGTCACACAGCAGGTCATTCATCTTTTTTGTAAAAACGTGCCACCTAATAAAATAGTGTGTTACTGATACAATACAAACGGCGTACATGTACTCCTGATTACTAGAAATATTCATTTCTATTCATAGACTGTACTGTTTCACTTATAAAATGCAGTGTTTTAATGAATTAGTTGATTGTTAGTTACGTCAACCCTATTGTCCTAGAACGGTCGACAATGCGTAGATTTACTCAAGGTATCACAATGATAGCTACTTGTATAGCCCATACCTTTTCTACCGAGTCATTTGTCTCGCGATATCAAAACAGTCGTAACAGCGAGGAGATTAGAAGCTCGTATTTTGCTCGCAGTTCCATGTAAACAACGCCGAGTCTACCGTGTATTTTTCCTAATGAATTAAAAGTAACATCACGGGTCATTATTCTAATTAAAATACATGTGTTACATTGGTGTAATTAGTTATGTAAAATGGATTTGAAGATGACATGACGGATTAATATTCTATATTAAAATATATTAAAATGTGTTGACTTTTGTATATACAAATATTCAAGTAGAAGACTAATGTCTTTACAAGTAGTGAACCAGTTCTCATAAGTGGACTGATATATGGGCCGCCAATGAAAACAAATGGGCACGTACAATTACAATGTATAATTTTTATATAAAGCATTTACAATCGTAATTGATTATTAAGAGGTATATTGATCTCATAAAATAATATCTGATCTTTGAGAACTAAAAATAATAATTCAGTAAGAAAATACTAATTTTCACATTCGTGTTAACCAGCTATCATATGACTCTATATAAATATATTTGTATGTATTTATATAAATGTATTTGTATGTTTAAACAGTTGTGATGCTTTCTGATACGCATTATCATACTCAAATCCATATTATCTGTTGCCAATGATTGACCCCATAACGGCTACTAAATTGTTATAGTTCATCAAAAACTAATTGTATTTCTCGGGGCGGACATCCGGGCATGTTCACCGCCTGGCAACCATTACGGTAAAAACAAAGGCAGAAAACTCTCAGAAAACGGTACTTTGAGACGGTTATTGAGACATCCCTGAACAGTGTAACAAGACTACCCCTGCGTGTGCAACACACGAGAGAATACAGAAGTTGAATATTTGTAAACTTAAAATGAGTGCAAATATTGCAATGACTAAAGCACTATTGCCTTCACGTGTGTCATCTAATGTACATTATCATATTACATTTTAATCACACAGCTTGCAGCGCTACTCGCAGACTATGCATGCTCGAATAGAGGAACTAAACATTTTAGAATACACACCAACTTCTAGACCTTATGGGTATCGGAATTTGGCAAACAGTTCCTTGTAACATATTCGTTTAAGCAACATAGTTCCATCACCGGTAGAGAAAAAACATTGCTTCCCACATTTTACTGTGAACCGCCATAACCATTTACAACCACTGGTGAGACGATGACCTCCAGAATCTTAGTTCTGGGCAAGCTTCATAACATAGTATCTGCATTGTTTTACAACCAACATTTATGAATCTAATTAATTCCAACGTTTACTTGTCATACACAAGGTCCTGTTTCATCTTAATTGTTTTCATAAAAAAAGATCAACATATAGTAGAGTCAGAATCAACAAGTGACTTCAATTCTGGAACAATCTCTTTCTCAATACATTCTTATGGAAATTTGGTTGTGAACTATGGTCGATTAATATCTTTTCTTGACTTTGTAACTATACAAAACCAGAACATTGCAGTGCTTATATGCTACTGCTCATTTACATCTAAAAATATACACTAGCGAATTTTATTGACAGGTGCCATTATGTCCGGTGACTGTAAATACACATTACTCTCTTTCTGCAGAATATTTCATGGCATGAAATATACATTACTTGGACTCAAAGTTGGAGACTGTAGAATTACACGTTTTAACTGATCATTATATTTCAATCACATCTTCATAAAACATTACAGCTACTCCCATCTGTTACTGTGATAAGAAATGTTGGCTGTATATAACTGAATAGCATGTAGGACTTCAATAATACAGAACAAAGAAATGTTTAATTTTATAGTTTGCCTTCTATAAACGTTTGGTTGTTTGGTATATTTCTGCATTGTATTATTTGTAATAAGCAATGTTTTCATGAAGCAATAATTAGCCTAGATTTCGGATTTTTATTATGAAAAAGCCAAGCAATTTGAATATTTTCCACATAAATGAAAATTTTGAACAGCCTTTTGAAGAAAAGTACATTTACATTCACACATACATCATAGTATTTTCATGCATCATTATACAAAGACTTACATAAATTGATAATGTCTATTGATTCAGTCCCGTCATTAACCTTTGTCGAAACCAAAATACACATAAATTAACATCTATTAAAAAAAGTGTTTCCCAACTAATTAGACTATTAACATGACCTAATTAAGAATGTACTTATCAAATTCTCAGCAATCGATTTCAAGACAATAATTGTTGCTTGCGATCATATATATATATATATATATATATATATATATATATATATATATATATATATATATATATATATATATATATATATAT